GGACCGTGTGGACTATCGTGTGTTAATCCATGTGAGTGGGACTCTTTCACATTCCTTCCATTTCTATATCATCGTGTCCGGTCATTTCAATTCGCGATCTTGTGCGTAAACGTTTTCTGCAAAAAATTACGCACAAATAATTTCGGCTTTCTAAGTAACAGTTTTGAACAAACAATTTGAATCATTCTGCTGAACCATCTGGTTACTAAATAGTTTTTTTGTCCTCTTCAACGCCTTAAATCACACGAAATTCCTGTAGCTTGTTTCTCCGCTGTCAATAAGAAAATGCGAAATTGATGTCTGATCTAAAGTCGTCCAGCGATACATTAATAAATGTTGTTCATGATGCGAAACACTTCATTGTGATCCTTGACACATGTATTTTCGAAGCACTCAACTATATGTGATATTAACAGACTGTAACAAAAACTTATGTTTAGCACTCACTTGTCATCCTTTACTTGATCTCCGCAATGGATACATTAGAACACCGGGCGACTTTCTGTTTGGTTCAAATGCAGAATACGGTTGCAATGAGGGATATATTCTAATTGGACCGTCTCAACGCAGGTGTCAGGGAAACAGAGAATGGAGTGGTACAAAACCTGAATGTCGATTACTGAGTAAATCTTTGTTGGTTCTTCGGAATAATTACGAATGAAACCAAGTTAACCACCCTCTTGAAGAAATTAATTAGTTTTTTGGACCAAATAAATTTCAGACCAAATAAACTTCAAAGTTACGGGTTCACTGGGTAGCACCCATTCCGCAATATGTAACATTCATGATATTTTGTTCTAGACCTTATGTCGAGGTCTGAAATGAAATGTACTGCGGTGAACGATGCACAGTTATCTCAGAATGGCTGTACAGTTTAAAAACATCACTAAATTAATTTACTTCTTCATTCTCGAAAAATGAGCTTTCGTTATGACGGAAAATTAGAAAACGATTGACCTATCAATCAATCATCAAAATTCACATTCGGAATTTCGAATGAAGTTTAATTATGATTCAATTTAAGTGAAGTGTGGTCCACCACCTGAAATTCCATACGCTCAACACGATGGTAATTCATATAGTGGTCAATATGATCTGGATACAGAGGTACAATACACGTGTGTTCCTGGTTACCATCGGTACAACCACAAAGGCATCACAATCGCGAAATGTTTATTGAACCGGTCAGGTGCGGCGCAATGGTTTGGGCCTGACCTTCGATGCAAAGGTCAGTTTCCGTTCCTTTTAATGACCATTGCAGCCATCATTTTTCCAGCTATTAAATATTAAAAACAAGAAATGTCCTTATAAATTTACTGAGGTGATTTTAATCCTTGTGAAATTATTGAGAGGTGCCGTATAAACTTCAGTGCTATTCCATGTAAGATTGCTCCTATCATTCACATGAGCTTGATATGTACATTGTCAGAATTAAAGCAATCACAGTCGATAGCAAATTTACTATTTTTCTGTCACCAAAGGAAATTTCAAATTTTCTAAGGGTATGTTG